TTAATTATTGCGCCTGTAGAAATTCCACATTATATAACGACTAACGACAGTTCGGCTTGAACGGAAGTAACTGTGAGCCAAGTGTAGCATCACTGAGATAATTTGTTCGGAGTACTAACCATAGCCTGAAAGCTCCCGATCTCGAAAACAGTCAAACTGGTGTACCTGTGTTTCGTCTCAAATAATATCATCGTCTTTCTTGGACACATTGTAATTCCATAAGTGTATTCACGAGAGGTACAGTTTCGATGAATCTCTTATTTAAAATACGTGTTGACAGCTGAACTTAAAGTTACGCAATGTAAAACTTTATTTCAATATCACATTTTTTGATTGTTTTATAATCCTTAATTTAGTTAATTAACAGAACTGCATATGTTTTGATTTATTTTAAAATAGATTAAAATTTGTTATACGACTTTGTAAAATATAATGTGGTTTGTTCGAAATTTTATTAAGATTTTCATTCTTAATTTAATCCCATGATTATCGTGAGAATCATTTACATTTTTTTTTCAAACTCTTCTTAGTCTGCCATTAAAATTCAAGTAGAAACTAATTAAAATTCTCCTATATGTAATCAAACATCAGTCCCTGTTCGTTGTTGGGACCATAAATTTCAGTCCCTGTCCGACAATCACGTGATTTTTTTGAACCAATAAAAATTGGAGTACAGGGCTGTAGAAGTAAATGTAACAAGATTGGCAAAAACTCTATTTTTTCAAAAGTTTCTATACGGCGAATTATATTTGCGGGATTAGTTGCAGAAAGCGGTTTACGTGAATTTCGTGTAGTAGCATTCATCTCTTAACTATAACGGAATCGTCGCAAGATATTGCTAACCAAAAGGGTGGAGATTAGGTTAAGTATTAATTTCCATGAAGACTGAGATTGAAATATGGAGCCGAACAGCGACTGAATTCGGACAGGATTCGAGAGGACAGGGACTCATGTTTGATCGTAACAACGAATTTATAGGGTTACGATATCCACAAAGATATATATATTTATATAAATAATGTTGAACATAAAAAATCACACGATACCCATTCACAAGAAAAATAAAATGTCCATATTTGCGAACGAATTAATGTTAAGATTTTACCATATAGCGAAATAGTAACGCCCTACTTACATTTCACAGTGATGCAATCCAGCGATGCATTATTTGGATATATCGATATACCACTGGCAATGGTATTTCTCTTGAAGATTTTATAGTAAACGGATTTATTAGCAGAGACAAATTGTTATAGTATGTCAGCACCGTGGGCTCCTATATGATACTAACCCATAACGCCATCCAAGGATGTATAAACGTAATTTATAGGGCAATTAATGGGGTAAACTGTCCGCTCGGGGTTGTTATATGCGTACGCTGCAATAATATAGTATGGAAGTGGATATTTCGAAGTTCTCCATTCATGGGGATCGTCCGTCGAATCTCGTGATGGTACGAAGGGAAGATATGCGTTTGTTCTTATCGGCACCATAGGACCCCATAGCAATTCTTATACAGGAATTTATACAAGAGAATGGTTATTTACTGTAGGTGTGGGTATATCTATAGAGTCTTTTCACATATTGACTGATTTTCATCCATTCCCATAGAATGCCACATAAAAATCCCATATCTATATATCGCTTACACTGTATCGGAATCGTCTTTGGAATACCAGATACATCATATATCTCTCTAGTTCCAGCACGAAGGTTCCAAACCCATAGAGACATTCTGGATAATTTTCATTGAACCCCATAGAATACGCGTTCTTCCCTATATTTTCAGCATCTTCGCTCACTGCCCTCCCGTATATATCTATATATCCTTTTATTCGGCTGACGCATGCTAGGCGCCCCCACAGGACTGCCTTTCTGAAAATCGTGGGTGGTTTGTTGTTCGATACTTACCACAAACGAGGGTGAATGAAATGGTAATTTTCCGGAATAAAGGGCAGCGCAGTGGTTTGTTTAGTACTCTCGCAGGAAAAGTATCTACGTGTAGAGCCTATGCGGATAAATCCTATCTAAGCCATGTACTCAGGGTGTGTCCCATATGTCATAAATGTAAAAAAGCGATCTATTTGTCACGTATATGTATAAAAGTACTATATGAGCATTGAAATTGTTCATCGAATTTTCAATTTTTTAAGATGTGTTTTCAGAGGGTATCCGAAGCGCTACATTATTTTTGTTTACATACATAAACATACCCTGTGGCATTTGAAAATGCAAAATTACTCTTTGCAGCCTTTGTGCGACTCGCAGCTTCTCGAATTACAGCTCCTCATTTTTTCGGCTGCTACGGTGTTGTAGAACGGGTGGGTGGTGTAGTCACCGAAGCGTAAGGCTGGCGCGGGTACAGAGTCGTATACAGGTCCAACACACCTCCCCGGAGATTTTATCTTCTATATACTTTCCCTTTTTGATCCCTATGGTTTATTTCCATTTATTTTTTCAGAGGACACCGGATAGAGTGACGCGGTGTCCCCTTACCGCGAACCTTTGAAACGAAATATGCCTGCCTGTCTATCTACATACCTTCCAACCATGTACTGCTTGTCTCCCTTGCGTGCAGCTCATTTTTATCCCGATATCGAAGCCATCGTCATTTTCCTTCCCGGTCGAAGCTCCAATTTTTAAAATTAAATCCCGACGCCGTGAAGACCGGTCACAATTGAACAGCACGGGAACACAGATAAGTCATGTTTATCTCGTGACTCGAAAATTATTACCATAGAATCGTCAACTACTTTCAGCTCAGAAAGGAATATAAACAAGAAAACTACACCGAGCATCTAACCCCGATAGCTGCGTGCTTTTCTATACATCTAACCGTACATAACCTAACCTAACCTATTCATGCTTATAGTATACCCCAAGAGTTCACATACGAGAAGGTACCCAGATACACAGTAAATTATGAGAGCTACTTACATTCCTGGATTCCTCGAGAACTATCCCACCCCATTGCATTCACTACCCTATTCCAGAAACCAGGATCTAGCTAAGATGCTTCTACACAGACATATATACTTGAGGTATAAAATGCATTTGCATCCAGAGAAAACTGCATCCTGTCACATTAAGCTACGTGCGCTGTCTCTTAAAGGATTCCTCCACCGGCGCGACGGGAATCCGGCAGATTTTCGGATATGCGAGGACACTCCCGTTTTTGCTCATTCATAAAATTAAACCAGAGATACCAGCAGAAAGACAATCCTCTTTACTTTTATACGCTACACAGTATGTACTGCCTATCTGTGTACCGTGTCGTAATAAATATATCTGTCGCAAGAACTTTCTATGCTAAAGCTATTACGTTTTTTCTTTTTAACGTGTTCGTCGACCATTTTCACCACATTTGTATACGGTTTATCCGAAACATTATAGTATGGCAATTATCATTGTGTGAAACTGAAATTTTTATCTTGGCATGATTACTAATGAATTATGTATGATAGCTCTCAGAATTATAGGTCATCATAATTATCAGTCTCAGTCAAGAAATGATTGTTGAAATCGCGGATTTTAGGATGATAAAACTTTACGACCCAACGAGTATAGCTTGGAGGATGATCTTTGTTGTTATAGTCAGTCCACGAGATCAGTGCATTTCCTTTGACAGTTCGTACACAATGGGATCCTTAGCAAATTACGCGTGGCTTTTCGTAAGATCACTGAAATATGTGCTAAAACAGACAAATAAAAATATATTTCAGTCCAAGCCATGGACGTGTATAGTTTGTAACAAAAATTATATTCAGAGCTGCGTGTATAGTCGATCTACGAGTTCAATATGTTTTTTTTCGACAGTTCGTAAGCAATGCAATCCTTAGCGAATCATACGTGGTTTTAAGATAAAACAATGAATTATATTTAGTGCAAAATCATACATATGCATTTTAGGGTAAAAATTGTAAATACAGACGGATAATCTATTGATTATTTTACATAGTTTATTTTATGCAGTGACACGTATACCTTTATGGAGATTACATTGTTTTTGACATGTTCAATAAGTACATTGGAACTTATGGAATGACTGTACTTGACAACATTCGCTGCATAGTTGGATCAATCGCAAAGCCAGTATCCTTTTAACGGATCATCTTCGTTTGAGTTAGAGCTTAAGAGAAATAAACAGATTTTGATTGAGCTGAATTCGTGTGTGTGTATTGCAATTAGTGCGAAACATAAAATCAGTGATACAATTACCAAACCAATGTTGCAGGTATATTGCCAGTCGTCGCACGTGAGTCGCAGCTCGCCATTTTATCACATCAAATTGTTCTCACTATGTATTAGGATTTTAAAAACATATGAATTTGGCATGATATTCGTAGTGATGATTTCCCCTTATGGATAAAAAACGGATTGAACATTTTGGTATTTTATCCAATTTGAGAGCATACTTTTGAAACAGTCAATAGTTTAATTCCATGTCGAGTCGTATTGAATTGTTTGTTTAAAAACAAATTAAATCGTCATTTAAACAGTTAATTAGAAATGTATTTCACGTTTAAATATTTATCCCATTATTATCTATCAAAATCATTTTCAATGACACTTTACATGTTATGCACTCAAATGAATTCAAAATTGGTAGCATTTTCGATAATTTTACAATTATTTGGCACTTAAATTTCAATGCGCAATGTTTGTTGTGTAAAGTGATTGCTGCGTCATCTAGTGGACTCTAGTAGAAACTCTAATAATATCCAGGATCTACGTTTAAATAAATAGAAAGTAGCTGCTTTGTTTGCTGTTACATAACAGTTAACTCAGCCTTACTATTTTGATATACTTTCGTAATGCACCATCCATACTTTCTACTGAATCGTTAAAATTGATTTACAAAAATAATTTTTCTAACAACCCAGAGATCTACGATTCTGAAAGTTCAATTTTAAAACGCAGGTTTAAATACTCTCTGAGTTTCGAGTTATGACCGGTAGGGCGGCGCAGCAGTCACTTAACATCACGAATAGGGAACAGAGGCTCCCCACGGTAGTGTGCTGACCCAATCAGGAATTATATCATACGTGTATAACTAGGGGTTCGTTCTGAAATTCACTGCCGCTGCTACGACTAACGTCGTGTCCTTGTTTTCCTGCTTGCATTTGATTGAGACACAACCATTCTCGTAGTACTGGCAGGGAATTTCGAAACGCACTCTAGGTTGCAGGTCTGTACTTTACATTCAGCGGAGTTTTGATGGAAATAACCATTGTTCGTTCTACCACGCTAATCAAGTACTATTGGTGTGTTGGCTCTTGTGTGGCTACAGTGTTTTAGGCTAATAATTACTACTGGTAAGATCATTTACTTGAGATATCAAAGACGCTTTTTCTCCTTCGCTGTGTATTTACTCGTTTAATTTATCACCTTGTCGTTTCCTTTGGCTTTGTTTTCTGAAAAACATTTTAAGGTTAAGTGACGTGTAACCAAATCTACTGAAATTACATGTACGTGTACCTTGCAGGACAATTATTATATTCAACGGAGAGAATAGACGAGAGAATAATAGTGCGTGCTACAATATTGCATGTGATTTCTCTTTTTAAAAAGTTCAATAATATATCTGATAAAAAAATAATTTCTTATTGACTACAGTGTAAAAGAATTTATTTACTGTCAGTTATCATTTGATCAACTAGTCACTCACTACATATATGAAGTCACATCGTTGAATCTATTCGTGATTGCACAAATTGATAATTTCTTGATATCTCTTGTATTTATAATACAATATCTTTGCTTCTTTTTCTGGTATTATTAAAGCCGAATCTCCGGAGTGTCGTTGTCGCGTCGAAGAATCCATATTGTTATTGTTTTTTGACTTGAAGACTGTCGAGTCTCATGCCACGTGCCATAGCTGTAGAACGAGACTTACCTCAGCTTCTGTATTGCTAGTCATTAGTTATTGAAAGGAATGTCAAATATCTTGTATAGGGGCAGACTCTCCATATATCATTCATTCTCAATCAATTGATACCTGAACAAATATAATTGGTTCTCGAAATAAATAGATATAAGACTTTCAAATTCATAGAAATGCACTTTTTTCCGTTGTTTTTGGTTTTTCTATTATCTGCTGATGTAAGAGTATATCGCGTTCGATATTTGAACCGACATTTGTTATACAATAATATTTCTCTTGTATGAGTTTGGAAAGCAGCGAGTAAATCGGGCATCGTAGCTTGGTAAACTGCGTAACATTTATAATTCACAACAGAAGTTTATAATTCAAGCTGAATTTTCAATGCACAATTTATGATCTTAAATACAGTACTGGCTTTTACGTCTAAAGACTTAATTTTCCTCAATAGATTTTGCGCAGGTTAAAGTGGCAAGGACTCGAGACTAGCTCAACAACATTTTTCAGGATTACGTTGCTAATAACTTTATAGAAAAATATAAATAAAATTATTTCACTGGACTCTTCTGTCACTGTGTAGGCAAGTTATACAATGATGTTCTTTCGTTAGCCACGAAAGATACGATGTAAACAAATAGAACGTAGAACAGAAAATAACTACTATCCATCTAATTTTCTTTATATAATCTAGCAATTGTACCTAAAAAAACTGTTTCACAAAAAGTACCTTCAACTATAACAAAACAAAAGTTAAACATCCAGTTTTTGCGATTTCAGGACCGTAACATTTTTCACACTAACAATTAATTACAGATATACATTACATTACATACATATATACATTTGCCATTCTTCTTATCAAGAACAACCTTGGAACTATTTAAAAATTAAAAATCCATTTACGTGCCTTGCTTAATTTATCACTTAATGGGCCCTTGAGGAAGACTTAAAAACGTTAAATTACGATTTAATGATATTATTCGTAGGAGGCAGACTAAAAGCACGTATCAAAATATTTCATGTGTTTAGTCGATTAAGTCTATCCAGTGGGTAGAAGCAAGCGAGCTACATCCACGGAAATTTGCTATCACGTTTCCACATCATAGGGATGCTCTCGATAAGCGTATGTCGATCACACCCGTTATATCTACAACGAGAGAAGTTTCGCTTGGGCCCACAATTACAGAGTCCCTCGTCGCACGAACGTTTTGATATTACTAGATTCAACGTATCCCATCCTCTCGCCATCGCTTTTGCGTAGCGCAATCTGCTGTTGGGCGTTTTGATGGTGTTGAGCTTGAATTGATGCAACCTCGTTAAACGGAATTGGTTATAGATCCTTGGTGTAACAGGATAGGACAGAAATTAATGATTAAAGACGCTGCCTGATTCAATAAAAATATTAGCAGTTCATCCTGCTGACGACTCGATCTAAAGAGTTAATCACCTGTCAACGTAATTTCGCCATGTTGAGCGAATAAATACTATGATCATATAGAAATGATATCACTCGGATCTTTAAAGATACTTTTCAAAAAATTCATAAATATAGGTATACCAATGAAAAATATGATCGATTAAAATAAATTATTTTTCTCAATTTCGACAATGTCTAAACTGTCAAATATTTTTCACGTTAATATTATGTTTATGTATATCATGAAAAGTATAAGGCTTGTGCTACAGAAAAGCGTCTTTCAACGTCCATTGAAACTACTTGGCAAAACAATCGTGTGAACCTCATAAAAGATGGTGGAATCTCGTGAATTAGTAAACAAAGGTTGGGGTATAAATTGTAATCAGTGAAAGATGCATTCGGTAAAATGTAGAACGTAACACTTTAACTTTTAGCATCTGAGAAGAATCAATCGCATAAGGATTCTCGGCTATATGCCGTATTCGTTACGTGCTACGTCTTACGGAACCGGCATTACGTCTCGGTTCTAATGCCTTCGGGATTGACGTCACTGAATGTTTCTGATACCGTTGCCATGACAACACAACGGAGTGTTGTTTGTATGAAAATAATTGCAAGGTACGCTTTTTTGATTGGCCAATTCAAATTCACATTTTAACTGGGATGCAAGGTTGTAACGTAATTTTCAGAGACTTTTAGATTGGAATGTTCACTTTTTTAGTTTCTTTAATCTTATTATTATGTACAGGCTGTTTCGTCTAACAAATTATATGGGGTTGTGGTTCTGCCTACCGGAAGTTACGCCCATACGGTATACTATTCTGTAATCTTATTTTCCCAGAGGGCATAGTATTTCTCATAGTCATCGTTTCTATTTTTAAATCTAATTAAAATTTCTATTTCCCCTGCTTTCAGAGTTGGGCTTGCGTGTGTGCAAATTTGGGGGAAAATGAAAATACCGTACACTTATAGAGACCGTACCGTGCCTATAAGAGAGAGGTATGAGTAAGGGTATGATTCAAAATTCACTGTGTGTATTGAAAGTATCAGTGTATATCTGTAGGCATATGAATGAGACGTGGCTATGCTCGTAGTCCTGATATTGAATTTTGAAACATACCCTTAACTTCGAGATGCAAATTTGATTTAAATCCAGCGCTGTTGGGCAAAATGAGATCCTCGATCAATATATGTATTGAGTCTCATTACATTGTGAAACAGCATCTCAGTAGATTAGATGTAACAGCGTAGCAGATAGTTTTTATCTTGCAGACTAGAACTTACCAATTATTTACACAAATTTTTATTTTTTTCTTCTTAAAAATTGATAATAAATTTTATTCCGTTTTCGTAAAATTATGGATTCTTATGATTTAACGAAACACTTGACCATTTGAAATTTTGTGTTCTGTAATCCTTTTTGGGGCATTTACGATTTAAGGATAAATAGTATGAAGTATTTTTAAATGCTTTAAAGTATCGCTGTTTAATGGTTAAATAAACTTGATAACTTTGATTATTCCTTTTAAATTGTACATGTGATTGGTTAATTCTGTTAAAATCTTGTACGTTGTAAGCGTAGCATAGTGTTTCAATGCTTTAGAATACTTGGAAATGTAAAAAACGATGGACTATGATCAATCCAAATTTAACGTTTATTTTAAGTTATAATATTAATAATAATATAAAAATGGAAGATTTAAGTGTCGTAGTACTTTAATTTTTCAGTACCTGAACACGCACGAACGCCCACAGCATGAAAGGAAAAGAGGAAAAATTAAATTTGACCAATAAGTGCAAAGGGTGACTACCCCTATCTAATTATGAGGGTACTGAATAGTAGGGTCGCATGGACGTACAGTTTGACTCACAATCAGACGAAGCCGCAACCCTATTCGATTCATTACATGGGAACACCCTGTATTTTATAGTATAGTATAGAATATCTTAATATTGCACATAATATAATACTATTATTTAAAACGTATTCGGGTTTGCCTAAGAATCACGGACGGTGATTATAGGATGACGGAAAGTCCGAATTATTAATTACTTTAATTAATACAAAAGTTAGGCTCCAATCCGTTACAACAATTTAATGCGTAAATCTAACTTGAAAATAAAAAATTGCAATGTCATATAATACAATAATTGAAAAACAAAGTAAAAATCTGTTTCGCATCGTTCTGCCATCACTGGTTCGTTACGCAATCTCACAGAATGGATTTCTCTTCGATTTTTCGATTATTGTTCACGGAATTGCAGTATGAAAAATTGGTACGAAATGTCTCTGGTGAATTTGAATAAAAGCTTTCTTTTGTAATTCCAAGTTTTTTGTACTACGTGTTACCACGTTACCTATCGTGACTAACCATTTTCTCTGTGCAACCAGATTTTGCATTTCCAGATATCTATTATGAATTTACTTCTATCGGTTCCCTGAAGTATAATGTTCACGAGGATGTACACATTGCAAGGCAAACGTTAGCAAATTGGGGGGG